TTCGTAATAAGACCCCTCGATCTGTTCTCCATCATAGTCCGTTAATTTATACACAGGTGGTGAACGTTTCACGCATTCGGATATGGTGAAGATTTCATCCGTAAAGCTTTGTTCATATTTCTTATCAAACACCCCTCTTAACTTTGAAATTCTAACCGGGTCACCCTTCTTAAATTTCGTCTTTGCCGCCTTCTTTCTTTCTCTCCCCACCTTGTGACCGTAAAGATTCCTCAGGACTTGGTCTTTATTTTCAAAGGAAACCTCCATAGGGGACATTTTGATGCTGGAATGAAAGGAGTCATTATAACTTTTTACAAGATCTTGAAGCACATCCAGATATCTCCGTGTGTTATTAGCGGTGAAATATCGCCACATTCTTGTTTTAAGGGAGCGATTAAATCGCTCTATGACGGAGGCCTTCAGATCGCTGGCTGTCGCAAAGTGGATAATTCCATATTTTTTCATTTAGGCCTTGAAGTCTTTGTTAAAGAATTCTTTCCCTGCATCGGTTTGAAGCTTCTTAGGAATTTTTTGTGTCTTTAGACACTGATTCAAACGCCCTTACTACTTCTTTTTTTTAAGAGCTTGGACAAAAGCCTTTTTGGAAAACAAATCAATTACCGTTAATAAATAATTGTATCCGTCATTTTGGTCGGCTAAAGATTGCATGTCACAAAGATCTGCCTGAAATTGTTTCAAAGGCCCAGAGACAAAAACCCTGTTCCTTGGAAAATGAAGTCTTGCCGGTTTGTGGAGAGTGAAAGCGTCTTGCTCAGACAAAAAATCTTCAACCTCAGCTACATTAATATTTTTCCCATTTTCATTCTGCAAAGCTCTCCTTAACCTATCTATTCCCCCAAAACTTCCAGGATTGGAAGGGTTATAGTAGACTTTTCTTATAGCTTCACGATCAGACATCCTATTCCTTACACCAACAATCAAAAAATAATGAGACTTTTTATTCTTTTCTCCTTTATTTACAACGGGTAAATGAGTAAAACAACAAAACACAAAACCCAGAAAAATTCTTCATAATGTAACGCTTTTCAAATGACATCTGCAAACTAGGAATGTAAAAACTTTTCAAATCACATCTACAAACTACCAAATGTAAAAACAAAACTTTTCAAATCACATCTACAAAATGTAAAAACTTGAAATGTAAAAACAAAACTATTCAAATCACATCTACAAACTACAAAATGTAAAAACGTTTCAAATCATAACTACAAACTTGAAATGTGAAAAACAAAATAGGAATGAAAATGAAAATTTTTTTTTAAATCTTTTTTTTCTTTCAATCACTTCCAAGTGATACAGAAGATAAACAAGCAACTAAATAGCACATCATTCATCCGGTGCGACCAAAGATGTTTGAAATAGTACAGAGTTGTTTGATTTTGTAAATTTCTCTGT